TACCAAGCCTTCCAAATTGTCTAGGGTCCTGGTTGTAGTCATGGTTGGCCCAATGCCCAATCTGCCACAACTGACTGTGATAAGAACTGCAGGGCTGTATCTGCACTGGGCCACTTATTCCGGAAAATCAGCCACTTTTCCGGAATAAGCTGCGAGCTGTCTACACTGGCCCTTGAATTTCCGGAAAAGCAATGACGCTCTACCAAGCCTTCCAAATTGTCTAGGGTCCTGGTTGTAGTCATGGTTGGCCCAATGCCCAATCTGCCACAACTGACTGTGATAAGAACTGCAGGGCTGTATCTGCACTGGGCCACTTATTCCGGAAAATCAGCCACTTTTCCGGAATAAGCTGCGAGCTGTCTACACTGGCCCTTGAATTTCCGGAAAAGCAATGACGCTCTACTGTACAAAATCAGCCACTATTCCAGAAAAACTATTCTGCTCCCGCTCGGGCATAAGTCCTTATTCCGGAACACTGTTCCGGAAAAGGGCCAGTGTAGACAGCCCAGTAGTCTTTTCCAGAAAAAAGCCCCGATCGCGAAAATGGCGATTGGGGCTCTTTTCCGGAAAAGCGCGTCTACATTGGCCACAGACGCTTTTCTGGAAAAAGGGCTTTTCCAGAAAAGCAGCCTGCCAATGTAGATGCTCCTTTTCCGGAAAAACTGAAAATGGAATAGTATTCCGTTTTAAGCAGTTCCGGAAATTCATGCCAGTGTAGACACAGCCCACATGTTTAAGGGATTTTTTTAGAAAGGTGCAAAATTATTAGATAGCATTATGGGATGCAGAAAGTTGCATGCTGGGAACTTTACACCTTTCTTCCAATCCCTCCTGCATCAGTCATGTATGTCATGCACTGGAAGAAGGTGAATGGTGCATTTGGATACCTACTCATGGTGCACCTCACTTGTCTTTCACACAATATTCCTGGTGAGTATGTGACAAACCGATGCAAGCAGCCAAGTATGCATGCACATAAGTGATATAGTAACTGTAGCAAATATACCCCGACTAATCTGTGTTACCAACAGTTTGCAGTATAGACATGGCCAAAGACCATGCTAGGTATACGCAGAACTTTCCAGCACTTCATGTACAGCACAGCAAATGTGAGGGAGTGTGGACCCAGCTGTACTTCTGGATGGATAGGTCAGGGCTGTCTTCAGGGGAGATACAACCTGACACACCAGCCAGGAGGTATTCTTGTCAGTGAAAATGTATAATGCTTATAGTATACATTGTTTAGAATAAATAGTCTCTCTACAGAACATTCCTACATATCACTGATTTCCTGACCTCCTATACTCTCTGTAGCATGCATTAGTTTTGACAAAAAAGTCCTACAATAAACTGTCTCTCATTTTCTTGTAGCTAGGAAGACAGTTTTAATGCACAAGAGGCCACAGCCTTCTTCCTGGGAAAAGATGGCGGACAAGGTGCTCCAGAAGGCGTACATTTCCCTCATCCTAATTATCATTCTTGGAAGTCTTTTTTCTGGGGTATTCTACAGGTGGCAAACAAAAATGATGAGTGAGTAAAGAATATGTCAGTACAAAGATTTCTTTCCTTTTTTGGAACAGAAAGTAGAAAAACATGAAGCATATCAAAGTTGCAATCATGAATACATAATACATCTGGCATGACAGATTCTTAGTTATCCTGGCATGGGTAGGGAACAGAATACCAGAAAAAGGAACATCTGAAGTTAAGTATCCGAAGATGCACAGCATGTTTCTCCTAAAAATAATGCCACTGCCATTCATTTCCAAGGTTCTCCTTGTCACAAGTCTTCTAATAATCACAGTAGCTTGTGTTGTGCATCTGTAATAGAGTAGACAATTGACAGTGAACTAGAGATTTGTGTTAATCCTGAGCAGCAATGTTAGTTCCTCAGGGGGTTAATTTCAGTTCTGTGGTTTTAGGAATGAAAAGAGAATTCTGCTAAATTACTTTACACTGATGGTTTATGTTGCTTTCTTAAACACATCTTCTTTTCCAGATCCGAAGGAGGATTGGCTGATGAGACAAGTCTGTCGCAAAGACATACTGAACTCTATGTGCTTGATGAACAATCTCTCATATTCACAAAGCAAACTGCCACATGACGTTGCAAGACAGATCTTTGTGGAGCATAACCACAAGTTCATCTATTGTGAGGTGCCCAAGGTCGGCTGCACCAATTGGAAGAAAATCATCCTCCTCCTCACAATGAACCTGAGCAGAGAGATTAATGAAGTCCATGATGATCTCATCCATAAAACCTCACTGATAAAGAGGCTGAGTTCTTACTCTTCTGACTACCAGGAGAAATTACTGACCAGTTACACCAAAGTGATGTTCACCAGAGATCCCCTGGAACGGTTGATTTCAGCTTACAGAGACAAGCTTCTGCATTCTGAGCCATACTATAGTATCACTGTTGCAAATGAGATCAAGGCCATGTTCAGGAAAAACAAAAATTCAACTGAAAGGGTCACTTTCCAGGAGTTTGTTAATTTTATTCTGACACAAAACCAAGAAAAATTAGACATTCATTGGAGACCAATGTTTCTACTCTGTGATCCTTGCGACATTCATTATGACATCATGGGGAAGTTTGAGACCGTAGTGCAAGATTCTGAACGTGTTCTTAGGAACATTGGTGCCCCAGAGGATATGCATTATCCGAACTTTAAGAAATATAGCTCAGAGAAACGTTTCTGATATCTCAGAAAGCTGAGCTCGGAGCAAATCCAAAAGATCAAGGAGATGTACAAGATGGATTTTGCCTTGTTCAACTATCCTTATGAAACTGATACAGTATGAAGCGGAAGGCCATTTTTATTCATACAAAATCACATGAACTTGTATACAAAGATAATTGCAGGTGGTTGGTGGTAGCAGTTAAGCAGTATTAGTGTTTTGTGAGACGAGTGTGATATACTAGTTGATCATTTATAAAATTATCAGGAGCAGTATTACAAAACTCCAGTCAGTGAATGTTCTACCAATATGCTATGTAAAGTATCAGTGGAAAAGGCATGATTTGCTAAATATGGTAAGCTGGTTTATACATGTGAGTCATCTTTTTGGTTTGAGAGTTATAAACGTGTGGTTTACTGCTGTCCCAGGTTTGTGGTGTGTATCTGGGTGACACTCATAGACAGATTGGCATCAGTGCTATCCAGCCTCCTTGATGGCCCATCATGGGCAATCAGCTGTACAATGGACCCATTGAGAGAAGCCAGGGACTGTGTCTATGGGTACGTCTAGACTACATGGCTCCGTCAACGGAGCCATGTAGATTTGTTTGTTCGGCAAAGGGAAATGAAGTCATGATTTAAATAATCGCAGCTTCATTTAAATTTAAATGGCTGCCCCGCTCTGCTGATCAGCTGTTTGTTGGCAGATCGGGGCAGTCTGGATGCTCCCCTGTCGACATGAAAGCTCTTTATCGACCTCCCTGGTAAACCTCATCCTACGAGGCATAACGGGGAGGATGATAAAAGGCTTTCAGGTCCGGCGCGGGAGCGTCCAGACTAGCGCGCTGAGCCTACAAACAGCTGATCAGCTGTTTGTCAGCTTAGCGCAGCAGCCATTTAAATTTATATGAAGCCGCGATTATTTAAATCGCGGCTTCATTTCCTTCTGCTGATCAGCCTAATCTTCATGGCTCCATCGACGAAAAGGATATTTCAAGATAAGTCAATGGACATGGGACTCCAAGTGCTTTTCCATGCCTATGTGTTGTGAGCCTGTGTTTGGGACAAAAGGATATATATATATAAGCCACAAAGCAGAGAATATATATAAAAAAAAAAAAACCCCAAACAGCTGCATCACCTCTGTTTCACTTTCAATCAAATGCCTCATTTTTGGAGTAACTTCTCTTGAAATATATAAGTGTTGAATAAAGGACTGATAGACCCATTCAATCAAATGCCCCACTTTTGGAGTAACTTCTCTTGAAATACAAGTGTTGAATAAAGGACTGATAGACCCATCAAGCTTTGAATGTGTTCCAGAGGAACTTTACAAGCCAGAAAACTCACCAATGTTGCTAAGAACCGGGTATGTGTTCTCTGACATAATATGTATGTATCCGATTGCTTTAACCATTGAAAACATCTCTCTTCTTGTTCTTTTCTAATAAACCTTTGGTTTTAGTATTGGCTGGCACTGTGGTATTTTGGGTATTGTCCAAATTAGTATTGATCTGGTAATATGGCTGGCTCTTCACAATCAGAAGAACATTTTGTATAGTGAATAGAATTTTAAGTAACTTCCCACTTCACTGGACATAGCTGCTGATTTGGAGCCAGGGTCAGGAATGCAATAAAGGAGGCCCTGTTATTTCTTTTATCTAACTTCTTGTTAGCTTGTGTGAGTTCAGGAACAGAGTTTTGTGACTGTTTCGTGAATCTAACTATTGTGTTAAACATCAGCTTTGGGAAACCTGTTCTTTTTTCTGAAGCTTGCCCAGACCCTGGAGTTTTCAGTGTGGGCAGCTCCAGACACCTTGACTCACGACTTGTCTCCTGACTCAATGTAACAAATATTCCTCCTGCATGAGATTTTTTTCCTACTGCTACTAGTGATCTGGTTGCTTTGAATGAGTGTGAAATTCACAGAGATCCTTGCTATGATGGGGTAAAGGATGGAGAATGTCGTACTTTCCATATACAGTCATTTCAGTGCATCCATTTTTAGTTTGGATTATTTTGGTATTCAGTTAATAAAAAAATACAAAGCAGTGCATATCCCTAACCATGCAGGAGGCTCAAACAAAAATCCTCACGCAGGCAGGCAGACACCTAACATGTAAAGTGCAGGGCACCAAGCAAAATCTTTCCCATTCATACCTCTGAAAATTGCCAAAGTGCAGCCGTGATCTCACTACACCTCCACCAAGTCCACTCCCCATGTGGGTGTTGGAAGGTGCAGGCGTAGATGTGGCAAATTTGTGCCAACTTGGGTTACTGTCACCCTAGTCACAGGAATGCACAGCTGAAAAGTGTATACTCAGCTTCAGAAGCTCTGCACTGCCATTGTGGGACCTGGAATCTGGCCCATGGTCTGATACAGAATGAAAACACCAATAAACTCCCCTCTGCTAGAGACGTGACCAGGAGGTTAACTTGATTCTAAGAAACCTTAAAACACACAAATATCCCAACAACAATCACCACCAGCAGTAAGAACATTTGGACATTCATTGGGTTGTTTCTGCTCTGTGGGCTCTGCACCAGATACTGTAACATCATGAGGAAATGTGCAACCGTACAGCAAGGTGGTGATCATGTTCCCAAGGATATTTGAAAACCAGATACTGTAACATCATGAGGAAACGTGAAACCTTACAGCAAGGTGGTGATCATGTTCCCAAGGATATTTGAGGCCCAGAAAGTTTGCATTAGTTTAACTTGAAGAGGTATGACTGAGAACAATGGACCAGTGCTGTTACCACAATGAAGTGAACTCATAGCAAATGACATTGTACACAGGTTGTGTCCAGTATTTGCCTTTCATGGGATCTTAAACTCACACAACTGATTTGCTGTTTCTAAAAAATTAAAATGGAAACAGTGTTTGAAATGCCTTACGTTTATGAGCAAATGGGGAACACTAACAAGGCTGGGGGAAGGGCTTTTAGACTTGGGCGGGCTAGTGCCCGTCCACCCCTGGGATTTCAAATAAGCCCCACTACCGGCTGGTATAAGCATGTGGCCCAATGGGGGAATTTTTCACAGCCCTGACAGACATAGTTATACTGATGTGAGTTTGGCGCATAGAGCAGGCCCCAGTCTCCATTGATTCCCACAGATTCTTCCAGGATCTCTTCCCCCTCTGCAAATCACCTTTCACCTTCTCCAAAACTCTCCTTCTTGTCTCCACTCTTCCTTAACCTGAACTTACCATAATATTCCCCATGACCCTCATTCTCTCTCTCCTAAACAAGATCTTGCCCCATTCTCTTTCCCCTTCCTAAATCCTTCCATTGTCTATCCCTGTCCCTCAGTTCCTCTCTAATGCTGTGTTCCTCCTCCCTTGTGCCTGCCCTCTCCTCTTTCTGTCTCCCTCCTGCCTTGGCTGTGTGCCTGCTCCCAAAGGAGCTGAGGGGAAGAGCAAAGACAGTTCTGTCCCAACCTGGGCACTTCTCTCATGCCCCAGTCTGGTCCCTCCCGCTCTGCTGTCCCTCCGGGCTAGCTCAGGAAGGGCTGGCAAGCCAGCTGGATCCACAGCTGAAGGCTCCTGCTTTCCAAGTGCAGGAACTCGTAGCTCCTGCCAGGGGAGGTGACAGGTTCAGCTTCCTCCTGTTGAAGTTGGCAGTTCTAGCTGCTCCGCAACAGGAACTCGTGGCTCCTGCCAAGGGGAGGTGACAGGTTCAGCGTCCTCCTGTTGAAGTTGGCAGTTCTAGCTGCTCCGCAGGGGAAGAGGGTAGTTGGGGAGACCGGAGCTCTGAGGACTGCAGCCTTCAGCAGATTTAGCCTCTGCCCCTTTTGCTGCTTCCTTTCGCTCTTTCTCATCTTCCCTTCTCACTGAACTAAAAGTGTGACAGGGGAGCTGACAGAATTGCCAGACTGCATTCTGGGAAGGGGGAGGGGCCTTCAGTGCAAAGAGTAAGGTTGGGGCTAACCTCTCCCTGCCAGCCCTTCAGCACTGCCTGGAGCTTGCTGCATATGGCTCCAGCGGTGATTTAAAGGACCCAGGGCTCTGGTCACCTATGCTGCCTTAGTAGGGGCAGCCAGTAGCCGCAGGCCTTTTTGAATCACTGGGCCCTGGGGCAGTTGCCCCCCTTGTTGGCAGGCCTGATGGGGGAAGGCATTGACAGCTGAACTCAGAGATGTGCTATGAAGAGAAGTGTTATGCAGAGTTAGTTGTAGGCAGTTTTTGTCCTCTATCTGCTAGTTGAACTCTTCAGGATGTTAACCTGAGCTCTGTGAAGGCTGAAAGAAAAGCCAATTCTGGAAGATTATTACAGCAGTTCTTCAGCAGCTTTTCTTCTGCCCGGTATCTCTTTCAGGTCCTACAGAAGATTGGCTGGGGAATCAATCAAAAAGCCACTCCGAGTGCCAGCTGCCTGACATACAGCCTCTCTGATCTGGAATTAGTCTGCCATCATAAGTTGCCGGGCAGCAGTGGCACAGAAGGGAATGGCTGGTGATGGGATTCTTATTGGGAAGGGCTCTGAGTTACTACAGAAAATTCTTTCCCAGGTGTTTGGGTGGTGGGTCTCGCCGAAATACTCGTGGTCTAACTGAGTCCATGTTTGGGGGTGTGAAGGAATTTTCCCATTGCTCAGATTTGCAGAGCCCTTGTGGGTAGGGTGCAGGGGAAAGTTGCCTTCCTCTGCAACATGGGACATGGATCACTTGCTGGTTTCAACTAGTGTACATGGTGGATTCCCCATAAGTTGATGTCTTTGAATCATGATTTGAGGACTTCGGTAACTCAGTCAGTGATGGTGGGGCCTATGATCTGAATGGATGGATGAAGATCTGTGGTCTGCAACATGCAAGAAGTCAGACCAGATGATTGTGATGGTCTCATAGACTCATATTTTAAGAGCAGATGAGACTCACCTTTTGGCTTGCTCTTGGACCCTTGGCCCCAGCTCTGACCCATGTCTTTGAATCTTGCTCTCTGACTGCCACTGCTCTGACTACTAGGCATGACTGCCCAAGCTAGGAGTCTAAGTGGATTTTGTTTGAAGAGATGCTGTT